GACAGCAAACACACAGCGACGGTCAACACGCGGTGACGGTGAACACACGGCGACGGCGAACGCGCGGCGACAGCAAACACACAGCGACGGTCAACACGCGGTGACGGTGAACACACGGCAACGGCGAACGCGCGGCAACGATGAACGCGCGGCGACGATGAACGCGCGGCGACAGCAAACACACAGCGACGGTCAACACACGGTGACGGTGAACACACGGCGACGGTCAACACGCGGTGACGATGAACGCGCGACGACGGCGAACACGACAACGGTCAACACACGGCGACGGGGAACACGCGGCGACGGTGAACATGCGGCGACGGGGAACACACGATGACTGCGAACACGGCGACGGGGAACACACGGCGACAGGGAACACACGGCAACGATGAACACACGATGACGGTCAACACAGGGCGACGGCGAACGCGGCGGTGAACACGCAAAAACCGTTGAGTTACAAGTGACTTTACCTGCCAGACCCAATCAAACTCGTAACTCAAATGCTTAATGTACTTTATGTTAGGTATGGGTGATCACTTTAAGATAGATGAAAAGGGGGCAATATAACATCGTATCATCCATCGCTATCATATGTATCATGTCTTGATCATATCTGTCATTTCATTTTCAGATCCAGACTTTAGTCATTTGCCGTTGATAATGAAATGTAGAAAATTGACGTGTGGCACAACGGAAGTTCAAGTTACTCGAAATAATGCTAGAAATAATAACCAAAGGCAATATAACATAATCCCATCATGCCTTTCGGCTTTGGGTTTTCGTAATTTCCTCACAATTACTGAAAGTAAAACATTGACGTATAGCCTAATTAAATATAAATTTAACTTGAAATGATGCTCATCCTATAAACAGCCCGAGTAGATCCAGGTATAAAGATGATCAAAGTCACCACCAGTTTAACTTGCCTTGAAAATCGATTTTACCAGTAACTTTACATGGAACTTTTCACAGGCATATTTAATTAGACAGATGACGTCCACACACAATTGCAATGCACAAACCGGATATCGTGACATCATTGTCTGCGACTCTCATCAATCTATTATCCTGCAGGAAGGGTGGAAGCCGTTTCTTGCGCCACCTCTTGGCTGGATACGAATACAGCTGCCCTTGGTGTCTGCCTGGTTCGCGATGCCGCTTCTGCATCCAGAGGGAGCAGTTGTTTTGCGCAACGCCTAAACAAATGACAGTTTGGCACATTACGGCTGCAATGCACTTATGACATACTCACAGAGAGCCGGCGTTCAGTGTCACACCTAAACGAATTATGGCTGCAATGCACTTATGACATACTCACAGAGAGCCGGCGTTCAGTGTCACACCTAAACGAATTATGGCTGCAATGCACTTACGAGCTTATGTTGTTAACAACAGTCAGAAAAAAACAATTTTTATTTACCAAACTATAATACTAAATGTGCAGCACACTTATAAGTGTG